GGTTTAGGGTTGAGAGGTTGAGGGTTTAGGGTTTGGGGTTTGGGGTTGAGGGTTTCATTAAGGTTTTCCTTCACTGAAGGCCGTTGCTCATGATATCCCCATTCAAAACCCTGGTTTACTTCTCCAACACTTTCCGCCAACTCCGCGTTGTGATTGTTAAGGCCCTTCAAGAATCCTACAACCCTTCCTGTAAAATGAAAAACTCCAAAACCCCCTGAAACCCTTTACAAACCCACTAGAACCCCATAAAACCCTCCTCGGCATCCTCCAAAATCCCATAAAACCCTCATCGAAATCCTCTAAAATCCTCACCGAAATCCTTTAAAATCCCATAAAACCCTCATCGAAATCCTCAACAATCCGATAAAACCCTTCTCAAAAACCCTCTGGAACCCAAAAGAACAACCCTTGCTGCCGCGCCTCGCCGCATCCTCCAGAGGCGCCTGGAACGCCTTGGGGGCGCCGGCTGCACCACAAGCCCGCTGCCTCTACAGACTCTCTTTGTAAGGGGTTTAGTCTTCAGGGTTTAGGGTTTAGGGTTTAGGGCTTTTTGTTTTGCAAGGTTTGGGGTTTAGGGCTTTGGGTCGAGAGCTTCACTGGCTTTCTTGTGGGCCCTCTTGTGGCAAGTGGCTCACACCATTTGGGCCTGCCGGGCCGTCATCCAGGCGGATCCATGCCTCCGAGCTCTGCAAAGTTCAGGGCTGTGAAGGGCTAGGAAAGGACTTATAGTAAGGGGCCTTAATAGTTAGAATAGGGTTTTGGTGCTCCTTTGAAGGTATCCTTAACGGGTTCTATAAAGGTTTTGGGTTTAGGGGCCTTTAATTTAGTAATTAGAATCGGGTTTTGGGGTCTATTATACTATGATCATTTTGAGGAACCCCCCCAAAATAGTATAGGTAAGTTGCCACTCCCCTTATATAGTAAGGGACCCTGTAAGGGTTCTACGCGGTTCGTCCCCAACCCGGGAGTCTGCCTTGAAGCCACAGCAGGGGTTTCAATGGGTTTCGGCAACGGCTATGCCCAAACGTTCCTGTCTGGAGTTGAAATTTGCAATACCCCTAACCACGAAATCTGCACTAGGGGTTGAGAGTTTAGGACCCTAACTTAACCCTTTTTAGGGTTTAGGGTTTAGGGTTTAGGGTTTAGGGTTTAGGGTTTAGGGTTTAGGGGTTTAGGGTTTAGGGTCTGAACCACGAAATCTACACCCCGGTACAGCAAACTGCTCCTGCAGCTTAGGCACGGTCGCGTAGCTGTGTGGATCCGTCACGCAGTCGGTCACTTGCTCGGCGGTGTCTTTGGCCTCCAACCCTAAACCCGAAACCTTAAACCCTAAGCCCATAAACCCCTAAACCCCCAAAC